ATCGATTCATCTAAAGGAAATTAAATAAACAGCTACGCGGAGATATACTCAACATAAGGAAAACACTTCTACAAGAAAAATTGCACAGGCAGAACAAACCTCTATTTATCTATCTATCTATTATCAAATAAAATGAAATGAATAGGTTTGCACAGAAACAGTTAAGTATAAAGAAGATAGGGGGCTGAGCGGTCTCGGGTTATAGCATCCGCCTCGAGTGCTGGAGGTCCCAGTTTCAAACCCCGGTGAGGGGATTTTTTCACATAGACTTCTAGTAATTTTCCCAGGTCTCTGGGTAGAAAGATCAGAGGCCCATGTGTATTGTTGCGCATGTAAAAAATACCCTGGCAGTTGGAAATCGAAAAAGAGTAGCCTAACAGCGCTGCCTGGGCAAAATTTGGAGTTCAAAAGTACCCAAAGTATTTCAGGATCTTAGCCGGTGTCACTGAGTTCGTGCACTGCGCTGAGATTCTTTAGACTAAGGCTTGAGTTATAAGCAGAACTTATGGGTTACACCCGTGTGCCATGACGTTGATCCGTTGAATAAACAAATACAGAAGATAACACTTCGACAAAAATCTGCTCACCCCACTCAAACTGTTTACATTTGTTTACCCAGTCATCGATCCAGCTACTGCAAGAGCTCCAGCAACAGTTAGACGCAACAACATTGCCTCACTACAGACAGAGATAAAAAGAGGAGTACGACAGGCATGTGTGTTATCCTCAAGCCTTTTCAACTTATATACATACATTTTAAACAAGTTGAGGAACTGAATATTATTGGAAGAACAGTAAACAATCTAGGGCAGTCGTCTAGAGCTATGAAGTTTGTGCTTTGTGTGATGCTGAAAAGCAGTTCTGCAGAGAAGGCAGGGCTATTTCAACTAGTGGCCCACAGGCCAAATCTGACCTGCTCAGGGCTAGCAAGTGGTCTAAGATCTGTATGCTAGGGCCCGGGCCACTGGCCTGCGATTCCTGTATCCAAAATTAAGGCCCTGGGCAAACTTAGTTGAATAGCCCCGCTATATTGGATAACCCAGTGCAATAAGGTCAATTGTATCATTCAGGTAGCAACACAAACTCACAAATTATATATCAAAATATTTTATCATTTGCACAAGTAAATGAAAACACACCTATCATAAAAACATCCATACTGACATAGGCAAGGTGTAAAATATCGCAGTTTTATTATTTCCCATTTAAATGTTTTCAATAGTAAATAAAATAATGGATAGTCTTGGATACCAATAATAAATAACAGAAAAGCAATAATGCAGGATTGGATTTGTCTTGAATCACTGAGGGGGGAAAAGTACATCACAGATTCATGGAAAGTTAACGACATAGAAGTCTTGTGAAACAGATCCTTCTTCTGCATTTGTCTTGACAAGAGCAGTTGGCATAATTTGTTGCAGCTTACAGCTGGACTGCCATATCTGCACAGTTAGAATTCTGCAAACCTTTTAATTACTTGCCATTTACAACACACTTTTCTATGCATTTTCCATTCTAATGTTATTTCAGTGTTAACATATGTAGTAAAAGTTGGAAAACCACTAGAGAAAATGATGAAAATAAAATGGGGTGAATTCAAAAGAAGTGAAGAAATAAGAGAAATGTCTGGGAAACCACTAGCATCAACAGGGGTAAGACAGAGAATATGGCACTGTACTGGACACTTCCTGAGAAGAAGCCAGCAGAGAATCATCAAACAGGCAGTGAAATGGACAATAAATGTATTCACAAGATGAGGATGACCAAAAAGAAACCATAAAATCAATGCTGATTAGATAAGCAAAGGTGCTGGACTGATTCTATCCATGATATCTAAGTAACTGCACAGGATGGAAGGGAATGGAGGAATAGACTGTGAGCCCTATGTGACATATAATGGCACAACAGGACAATTAATGAATAAATGTTAAGGAGCAGTGGGTCTATTAACCCCCCCCCCCCTCCTTCTTTTATCTTCATTCTTCTTTGCATAAAACACACCACTATGGTAGATGAAAGTGTTTCACATGAATGTCAATCCTAAAACACTCCATTAGCATAGATAAAAGAGCTTTCACATAGATGTCCACCATAAAACACCCCATTACGAATAGCACAGATGAAAGTGCTGTCACATAGATGTCCACCATAAAACACCCCATTACTAATAGCATAGACGAAAGTGTTGTCACACAGACACCCATCATAAAACATCCCATTACCAATAGTGTAGATGAATGTGCTTTCAAGTAGATATCCATCACAAAACACCCCTTTACCATAGACACAGATGTCCACATTGAAAAACACGGCTTTTGTAAAATTTATCACCACAAAGATACCAGTCATGAAACATCCTATAAGTGAAGCCAAAACGGTTGTCACAAAAATGACAATTATGAAACACCATATTGGTGGGTGAAGGTAAATTTTCTATCACACAAATGTCCATCAGTGAAACACTCCATTAGTACTAGTGTACGTAATTACCCCGCAGTATGTTTTACCAAAATTGTGTTATTAGTGCCTAACATGGACATTAACAAGAAAAGAAAAAACAAAAAAAAAAGCAGTAAAAGAAATGTCTATGGTGAATCTCAAATGTTAACTACAAATCCAGGGGGATGTTAGCTATCACCACCCAGCAGAAGACAAACCTGGCAGTTATTGCATTATCACAGCCCTGTCATTAAAAAGATGGATTTTTCATATTTAGTCATTATTTTGCATACAGGTAATTTTTCGTCTTTTTTTTAAATATGAATAAAAGTAATCACTAAATACAAACATAGCAAAGAAGTAACTTATCTCCTTCCCCATGACCAAGAAGAAAATGCAGGGTTTGTTGACACAGCCAAAAGAGCAAAATGATATCATCATAAGTTTATTATGACATCACAATGACCAAAAACAAAATGAATTTTGTTCACCCCAAACAGTATCTTAAAAAGTTTGTAAATATAATTATTCCCACCATGTCTACACACAATGCTAATGCAACCAGTACCAAAGCTGTTACACAGGTGTATTGGGCATTGCCCAAATACGTCATGTCATTAAAAAACAAAAACAAAAGGCAGGAAACTGGCTTTCTCAGGGCATGAGGAGTAATTAGACTCTCTAGGCTAGTCTTCCCCATGTGTTGGTCCGACGAATAAACTGAAGTGGTCCATGACATCTTCTTCTTCTTCTCTGGTCCTATTCTGCGACAGGTTTTGAAGAGGCACCGGGACCAAGCTTTGGTATGTGCTACATAGTTGCTGGCATTTACGACTCCAGATATTCCATCTATTCATCACTTGCCTGGTCAACCTCTGGCTCTGCTTCCATTAGGTCTTTGATAGGGGTCACGTGATTTCATTTACAAAATATTCTCAATATGAGGTTGCAATCTTTTCTGCAGTTCTAATATTTGAAGTAGTAAAAAGCATAATTATCAACAAGTGTGGGTTCCACAGCAAACCTTTGAAAATAAGTTAATTCAGCACCACATTTCTAAGCTGTCTATTTTGTCCATGGGGCATGGCCAACAGGCATTGCACATAGCGAATAAACTTTTTATGGGAGGAAAAATATGTGTGTGTTTACTATGTAATAGATTTACTATCAAACTTTTTAGCATAAAAATATAGTCATTGATAGATGACTCCATGCTTAATTTCTAATGAGGCCAAAGAGGCAACACATAGTCACCTTGCTTTCACATACACCGTTTTCTGTTACAACATGTGAGCGGACTTATTTAATCAGCTCAAACTAAATGGAAAAGAATAAATACACCAAACTATCAGGATTGTGGGAACAGATTGTATCAAATAATTGAGAAATGGAAGATCAAATGAGTTAGGAGTCTTGCTAAAATGCAGCAACAGCAGTTACCACAGATCATCATGTGAGCTGTGGAGTTTGTCATTTATGTGAGGCTTTCAGCAGATAGTAGCCACTCTGCAGAGAGAGAGAGAGAGACATAGTCTTACTGGATCAAACCTGGTGCAATGAAGTCAATTCTTTGGACTTTAAACCCACTGTTAAACACTTGATTTTCTTGCTGTTTTTATGTATTTTTCCCAACACCCCCCCCCCCCCCCCCCCCCTGCTTAGGAGTTGCAGCTGAAAAATTGACATCCAACGATTTAGAAACAGCTAATTTTCACATGTGATTCTTCTTCTTCTTCTTCTGTTCTCTACTCCTGGAATGCCTCATATATAGTACTTTTCAGTCTCCATTATTTCTAACGCCCTTCTTTTGTATGGTCAACCTTTGGATTTGTTACCACTGTATCTGTATAACAGGTACACCAGCAGCATATCCCAGACACCCCTGTACAAAACAGTTATATTGGGGCACCCAATGGTTACCTTAAACTGCTGCCCTATATGAATGCAGCCATCTGTAATTTTGTTGTTGTTGTTGTTATGCTAGTAATAGCCAGTAGCTGTGCTAATCTGCTTCAGAAAAATCTAAAGATTTGCCCACTTCACAACTCTGTCTGTATGGGTTCCTGGGCCTCATTTTAGTTAAAAAAGAATAGACCCACTTCCCCCTAAAGAAACATGTCACAGAATTTGAGATGCTTCCTTGGAAGTTGGAGTACATCTGCATGAAAAGCAAGGAACCAACAGTCTGTTTACATAGACCCACTGCCTGTCCAAAAGTGGATGTCCAGAAGTGGATGAACAACCAGAACTTTCTGCAGGAGTTTGCAGCCAGTGAACACGAAGAAGAAGAAGAAGAAGCCAGATCTGTCAAATGGATATGCAAGCAAAACTCAAGTTCTGGAACAGGACCAAAGTCCAGAAGTGGGCGAATAACCAGAACCTTCTATCACAGTTTAAAGCCGGTGAACGCAAAGAAGAAGACTTTACAACCCCTCACAGTTTCCTTGTTCCTTTTTCTGAATGTTCATTTCTTGTAGTGTTTTACATGTATGTAATTTATATATATTTATATTTTATTTATATTAAATCGATTGGATTAGCTAATTAAATATAATTATATATCAGTCTAGTACATGAGCAAGTGAAATGTAGTCAGCAATTTTATGTGGAATGACACCAGTTTGTTTCAAAACCTCAACAGCTGTTCTAAAATGATCTCTAAGATATTCCCGTATGCTCAGGCAACTAAGGTGAAGTAACGATGGCACTTCTGACACATATTTCTGAAGATGACGCACAGCATCCGGTTTACTAGCCAGAGCATGTGACAGCCTGTCCTCTCGTAACCATGACGTCTTCACCTTACAGCCTGCCTGAAGCAGCAAGCAGATAATCTCAACATTACCCAGGTCCATAGCAATTTGCATAGGTGTCATAGGTCGCAATGAATATTTAGCATTACTTGTGGTATTTAACGAACAGTTCACTCGAAGCAGCTCCTTTATTATGCTAATATTCTGTTGATCCACAGCAAAATGCAAAGGTGTTGACCACATAAAGGTCTCAGTATAAGTAGAGGCACCCAGGTCTAGCAAGAGTTTCACCATATCAAAGGAGTTGTTTCTGATAGCCTGGCACAGCAAAGAGACACACTGCGGCAGGCGAACGTAGTTGACATTACCTCCTCCTTGAACTAATATTGGCACCACTTTGATATTATTTTCTTCTACAGCTATCCACAGAGGAGTTTTGCCGGACACGTCCTCGCAGTTAGGATCGGCGCCGCTTTTCAAAAACGTTTCAATGACATTTTCATCGCAGCGAGACACAGCAATGTGAAGGGTAGAGCGCCCGTTCATTTTCCAACAAGTATCAGCTCCTGCTAAGAGAAGTGCTGTGATTATGTTCATGCTGATAAACTTCGCCACTACGGCACGTGTGAGAGGTGTGGTGTTATGATCGCAGACAGCGTTGACGTTAGCATGTGAACATAACAGTTTTTCCACTATCTTGAAATCTCCCTTATCCACAGCTAAGTGCAGAGCTGTAACCTTTGAAGATGAAGAGATATTTGGATTACATCCGGCACCCAGTAGCAGATCAACACAGCGTCTGTAATTCTCTTTGAATGTGTACTGAGAATTAAAGATGGCCTTTAGAAGGGCTGTAACACCTTGGCTGTTTTGTCGATCACGCAAAAAGACATTGCGTTCAAGTAATAGAGAAACAACATCAGAAGTCCCATGTTTTGCTGCAATATGTAAAGCTGTCTCACCCTCACGGGTAACAGCTTCTATATCACAGCCCTGAGCTAGAAGAAACTGCATGGTTTTTACATTGCCGTAAGCAGCAGCCACATGTAAGGCATTCCAACCACAATGTTTACGTGTAACAAATGGCATGGTTCCATTAAAAACGATGTTAATGTCAATATTATATGTAAGTACTATTTCTTCAACTACATCTAGTGATCCATCAACCACAGCTTTATAAAATTCACACACCACTTCCATGTAGTTCAAGTTGTCTTCATCTGCACTAAGTGAATGACGTTTCTTTGTGTCTTCAGATGAACATGTATTAATAATGTCTCTAAGGGCACCACCTGATATTTCTTTTATATCATCTAACCTGTTTAACAGAAAATGAGGCTGAAATGTCTTGAATGAATCTTGGCCTTCTGTCTGCAAAACGGCAGAGTCAGTGTTTTGTTCAACCATATCTAAACCATCTGATATTGCAATTCCTTCATGAGCAGATGCGTTATTATGTTCCACGTCAACTTTTGGCACTACGAGGTGAACTCTGCCAGGTAATTCTGAGCCTGAAGGCAACGAACTCGGAAACTGAAACCGCTCTTCATTAGCTTCTGCTGCCATCTTTAGATGACAAAGGACAACCTGAACTGAAGATTAAACAGAGAGAAAACTGTTACATACCAGGCTAAAACAAACACAAACATCATCATTATCATGTAGCAGGTCCTTTGCAAAACGTCGCTCTCATCATGGTCTGCCTGAAAGAAACTCAGTCTCTCGCCAGCTCTCACGCCTCACGCACTTTCATACTCAAGGAGTCACTTATATCCTGTGCCCATCTTTGTGTCGGTCGGCCCCTGCCTCTCCTTCCTGGTACCATGCCTTCTGCTATAATTTCTTCCAATCCGTCGTGGCGCTTGATATGACCAAAATATTTCAACTTCCGAGACAGGATGCTGTTTTTTAGCCAATCTTCCTTGATGTTCAGATCTCTCAAGACGTCAGTATTTCTCCTCATTTTCGTCCAAGATATTCTGAAAATCATTCTACAGCATTTCAGCTCAAAAGACACAAACATAAACATCTTATATGATCAGTTAGTTCTGTTTAATTACCTAAAAAAATATACATTTCTTCCAATTATTCAGTCACCATTTAGAGGTTGTCCTTGGCATTCCAGCTGCTGTTCCTTTTTTATTTCCTAAGCCCAGGTGTAACCTACAGCTATATCATTCAAGTCTCTATATCAATTATCAGCACAGACAGTTTGTTTCTGTATGTGATTGCATGTGTGTGTGTGTGGGAGAGAGAGAGAGAGAGAGAGAGAGAGAGAGAGAGAGAGAGAGAGAGAGAGAGAGAGAGAGAGAGAGAGAGAGAGAGAGAGAGATGTCTTCCAGGAAGTGCAAATAGGAAGTGAGAAATCTATACTGCTGCTGGCTGGTCGACTTGAGTCAGAAGCCACGCCAACTGTATCACATGCTTTAGCAGCTCTGACACTTTCCAGCACAGGTGATCTCTTACCATGTGGGCTTAAATTTCTTTGAAACTTTACTATAAAGACTTATCTTCTATTAATTACCATCCCTCTCCTTTCTCACCAACATACATATACACCACATACATAACTCAACTATGCAACATCTAAAAATTAAAAACTGAATATTAACACTGTCTGAAGAAGTTACAGCAGCTTTCCACTGGCTTGATAACTAGTTGGACACATAGGTCATGACTCATCAACACATAAAGCATGTTAAGAAAGGTGCAGACAGGCATGCTCCACGCAGTGGAAAGCATAAGGTTAGAGGTCTCTGGCAGTTAGTGTTCTTTGAATATTTTCCCCAGGGTAGGCAAGAGTGCTGGGAAATTAACAGGCAGACAGACTGGCTGGTTCTGCACCAATTGGTGGTGAATTTATGCATGACAAGCTATATGTGGTCAAGCTCCTTTGGGAGCAAGTGAACAGTGCAGAGGCAGGAATCAATGACTATAGTCTGGAGAGAATGGTACAGCTGGGGATCTGGTTGATGCTCTACACTTAGAGTAAAAGCAAAACCAACAAGTAATTAAACTGCTTTCACTGTCACTATCGGTCGGAACTGGAACTCTTTGTTGGCTGTTGAAGATAAGGATGGAATGCTTATAGGAATTTCCCAAATGATGTGATGTTAGTTCTTAGCTTAACACTCAACATTTTAAGTGTGTGCATTACACACTGTATATAATAAGTGAATTTGAATATCTAGCATCAGCCATCATCTCACAAGGAGGAATGGATAGAGAAATCATTGTAGGATGTGCAAAAAACAAATCAGGTATTGGGACAATTATTATTTTAGACACACAGAAGTAAACTCTTGTCTACCAAAGCAAATCTAATATGAACTATTTTGGGGCCAACTTAATAATGTCAGGGACCCTTACTATAAAAAAAAAATGCAAAATCATAACAGAGATGAGATTACCTATGAGAGCTGCCAGAGTAGCAAAGAGATATATTGCTTTGCAATCAACGGCTGTACACTCCAGCGGAAAGTTCTGGTTGTTTGTCCATTTCTGGACTCTAGTCCAGTTCCAGAGTGTTGTGTGCACATTCGTTTCACAGATTTGACTCAACTGCATGCAGACCGCTGGTTCCTTGTCTCTCAGGCAGATGTACTCTGACTTCGAAGGAAGCTCCCAATTAGTCAACTCTTAGGACATGCTTTTGGGTAGGCAGTGGGTCTATTCTTGTTTTCTTCGCAACAGGGTCCCAGAACCCATACGGGAAAAGGAGATACACAATTTAATCATCATTATCAAGTGCCTTTCCACCTGGCGTAGGCTTTCATGCATAGTCACAGATTTCAGTATACACAATTTACAGTGAAGAAATCAAAAGACAAGGACTGAAACCAGTCATACTATTCATTAAACAGAAACAGATTATATGGTTTAGCCATCTGGTGACAATTCCCTGATACCAACTGCCGGTACCATCAACTATAAAGTGCAGAAGAAACTATGCAAAATGTAGTAAGAACTACAGGTACTAGTTACTAGCAGAAGGGTTCTTCTTCTCATGCACTGTGGTGTTGGTAGTCATGTCTATCCACAACCTTCTGTCTTATGTTCTTTCAATCAACTCTGACAGAGAACATTCTCCATGCCATGATGACAAACTATTCAGCATCTGTTCTCTCTGTCTCCCTCTGCCTCCTCCTCTTCAACTTTCCGGCTTTCACAATGCACTCTAAGTTTTCTCCTTCTGATTACATGATCAAAGAATGTAGATTGTCTCTTTCTGATATGGGCAATCAGTTATCTTCGTCAGCCAGTTTCCCCTCAAGATTTTCTCATTACTCTTTTTATCTGTCCTGGATATTCTCATCATACGTCTATAAAACCACATCCGAGCAGTTTCTAAATGTTTTCACTACTTTACCAACTGTCCATGATTCACATCCGTAAACCAATACAGGACTCGGCTATCCTCCGAACAACGGGCACAAAAGATGGCGGCCCCAAAATATCCTTACGAGCCCCAGTCACGTGTCAATTGCGCATTTGCGGTCACGAGCACATTGGGGGAAAACTAGGATTAGTGTCTGTTGACAATTTCGAGAAATGGAACAAACCGCTGAGTTAAACTCGCCGCCGAGTCTCCCCCGCGCTGCTAAGCACGGCAGGGGCTAAACTAGATGCTACCGCATCTCCTGCAGCGTCCTCATTTTATTTGCTTGTGTGGGAGGCTCTCGTCGGAGTGTTCGTCGGAAGTAAGTCGGCAATTTACGCGCGAGTGACGCCCCGTTATGCTATATTTTTCGACCATCATTGTTCGCACGATGATAGGCAGACCACAACTTCTCTGTGCCATAATTTCCAGATATAAAGGCATAAAATTATCGGTAAGTAGTCGGTAAGTTTTGATATAACATTTTTTTCTTTCCTTATTAGTTTTGACTTCAATTTTTGAACGTTTACAACACATGACACGTGACTGAGGCTCGCAAGGATATTTTGCTGTCGCCATCTTTTGTGCCCGTTGTTCGGAGGATAGCCCAGGATTCATTTAGCTTTTAAGAATTCTCTTTTTCATCTCAAGTGTCAGTTGAAGTAGAAGGGTAACACCCAGAAAAGGTTTGGTCTTAAACTTTCTACACCTTCTATCTTTAATTTAAAGAAATCAAATTCACCTTATACAAGACAGTAGAAAAAGCACTAATAAAATCGGCCCTCCTTTAAATAACAGCTGGAAGGCGACGGCCGCTTAGTCGGAGTTCACTCCCTTGGCTGCAGTGCAAATATGGAGTGGACAAGTCACGAATCAAACAACAAAGTGAGGTCGACGTGCCTGCTAGAGATAGACCATGCGCTGCGACTGACAGTAGCGACTGCGGTCTTGCGATGCAAGACTCTCGTAGACCACGCCCTGCGACTCACAGTAGCGACCGCGTTCTTCCGACGCATGACTTAGTGACCGTAGATGTGAGACCTGCGGATCTGTATCTCGTAATGAGGGATAGGCTTCCGTCGTTTTCGTGATGTGTCACCCTAACCCCTAATCCTAACCCAAACCCTAAGCCTAACCCTAGGATGATAGGTAACTATATCATTTGTTTCATTCCCTCTATACCACTCCGTATTTGTACTGCAGCCAAGGGAGTGAACTCCGACTAAGCGACCGTCGCCTTCCAGCTAGCGACTGTTATTTAAAGGAGAGCCATAAAATCCTTATATTAGTCTGAGTCTGTCTAACCACGTCACTTCAATGAGGTATGTGAGGAAAGGAAAAAACCAATACAGAAAGCTGGAAACGCTAGTGACTAGGACTAGTGTAAAGTGGACATTACCCGTAGATGATTTTTCAGAAAGACAACAATTCGAGAGTATTATGAGCTTTTAAAAGTAATCAGGGAATAAGGCTTTGATTCCCAAATATCCCGAAAAGCGGGATTAATGGATGGTCGCCTTACTGTTAAGTGTCCGAGACTCAACTTTTGTCTTAGTTGTTCAGTAGAAGAGTATGTATTGTCTCGGAATCTAGTTTGCGTCACTTTTTACTCATTCATTTAATGCCAGTGCCAGTATCAGTGAAATTTAAACATATGGTTTAAGTTTAAATTTATACTGATACTGTTGCACCTCCAAAGTAATGCAATCGATGTAGTTAATTAAAAAAAAATTTATACCCGACAGTAATAGTGTGGCATTTACCTTACGTCAATGGCCACACACAAACTACGTTTTATTTTGTAAACATTGCTTGCCGTCCGCCATTTTGGTTTAGCAGGTGATATGAGGAAACGGTGTTCTTTAATTTCTTTATCCCCGATTTACAAGCATAACATTAGTTTAATAATAATTATCTATATATACTGTTTCCTGCCCCCCCCCCCCACCCTCCCCATTTTCTAGACCATTCCAGGCTCATAGTGGGCTTATAATTCAGCTGAGTCTCACAGACAAACAAATATAGTTTTATGATGGATGAAAGGAAGAGTGGTCGTCATCAGTTGTGATGGGCGAACAACAATTAAACAACATTAATTACACACAAGGCGCTATTGAAAGACCAGCAATTGTCATTGACGGTGAAGAGCTGGAGAAAGTTGACTATTTCACATGCCTGAAGGGCGTGT